AACACCAATTCAGACTGCCAGTCTGTGAGGCATAGCCCTGCCATAGAATCTGTTTGGTCTCTTTACAAGCTCCACTCATGAATCTCTTTTGAGTTTTTTCATGTGAATTGAAGTCTGTGTCATTATCATCATCACTTCAATGAATTAGCATGCTAGGAGTGGGGGATGGGACAAGACGTACCAGCCCAGCCTGGCACTGCTGGTTACTGCTGATCAGTACCACCATGTAGCCCATAGGGACATATGGGAATCCAGTTGTCTAGCCCAGCTATGGAAGCTTGAGGCCAGTCAAGAAGTTGGTAGATGATGACTTAAAATGATGTTTTCTCTTTAGGTGGCAGAAATGAAGACTTAGTGGGAACGTGATTGCATTTATAAAATTCACAAGGGATAACTGGAACTTCTAATCCCCTGGAGGGAGAAAGGCCTCTTGGTACTTGGAAAACAAAGAAAATTTTGTTCCCAGAAGTATATGGATATCATTATCCCAAGAAGTGATATAGAAAGAAAGTACTAGGGGGTTTCAAAACCAATTAACTTAAATTCATTGGTGACAAATCTGGTCATTCTCTAAGACAAATTAGTGATGTTTGAAGATATACAAACATTACTTATTTTTGGGAATTACCACCAAATCTTCACATAGTTTATTCCTGCTGGAGGCTAACCTCCAGTTTACTGCAATCATGGGATTAACCTAGGGGGGGCATTGATTGACAAATACAAATTATGTATGTTCTTGGTGGATAACACAATGTTTTGATGTGCATGACTAACTCAAGCTATTTAACATATGCATTATTTCACGTACTTGTCTTTTTGTGATGAGAACATTTCAAATCTCTCTTAGCAATTTTAAAATATATAATAATTTTATTAACTATAGTTAACTATGATGTGCATTGGATCTCTTAAACTTATTCTCCCTTACTGAAATTCTGTGTTTTTTGACCAACATGTCCCCTCAATCCTTTCACCATAGGTTTTTTTTTTGTACCAAGAATTGAACCCAAAGGAGCTTATCACTAAGCCACATCCCCAGCCCTTTTTATTTTTTATTTTGAGACAAGAGCTCTCCAAGTATAGGATCTCGCTAATTTGTTGAGGTTGACTTTGAACTTGTGATTCTTCTGCCTCAGCTTCCTGAGTCATTGGGATTATAGGTATGCACCACTACCCCTGGCCAGGCTGGTCTTGAACTCATGAGCTCAAGTGATCCTCCCACCTCAGCTTCCCAAATACCTGGGACTTCAGGTGCATGCTACCATGCCTGGCTTAGGGACTTAGGGAGGTGTTTTTTTTTTTTTGTACCAGGGATTGAATTTGGGCACTTGACCACCAGCCACATCCCTAGCCCTATTTTGTATTTTTTATTTAGAGTCATAGTTTTACTGAGTTGCTTAGTCCTCGTGCTTGCTGAAGCTGGCTGTGAACTTGCAATCCTCCTGCCTCAGCCTCCTGAGCCACTGATTACAGTTGTGTATCACTGCATCCAGCTAGGGAAGAGTTTTTAAATAATAAATTTTTGAAAGCCAACACTATCGGTTGTAATTCACAATCACTGCTGATTTTTGAAGTTTCCTCTTACTTGGAAGTAGAAAGGCCTACTGGTCCCACATCTGCTTTCCCAGTCACACCCACTCACTAGAGACAACTGTCTGCCAGTAGCCTCATCTCTGGAGGAGAACAATACAATGAGCCTGTTGTATACTTGTTGACATACAGAGTGGATTGTTTTAGCAGGTGCAGAAGATAGTCTGTGTGGAGATTACAGAGACCTTTATCCTTGATAGCATAGCATAATTCAAAATCTAAGTTGTCCTTTGTCTGGTTTACAAGCAGGTGTTGGAACTGTACTTGGTTAAGCTTGGATCCTTCTGTGCAAGGGAGCAGCATTAATTTTGAAATTTTTTTGGTGGCTGTTCCACTTGTTCTATACCATTTTCCTTTAATAAAAAGAAATAAACTCCCTTTGGTAGCTGATCAGATAGCTCTGCTGTGTGTGTGTGTGTGTGTGTGTGTGTGTGTGTGTGTGTG